TACACACACACACACACACACACACACACACACACACACACTCACATACCCATGCATTGTTACTAAAATAAGATTCCGAATCCGCCTCAACGGATGAGGAGCAAGTCTTCGAGTAATAATATTGCAACACTGAAGATGTTTCGAACTGACGATTCAATCTTAGCGTGTCTAGGAACGTCGTTTTCCCATGCCGTTCCCGGATCCTTGGAGAAACAAACACGCCAACCACCCTTTCCCTCCCCTCCCCCACTCCCTGGGGGCGCACAAAGGTCCTTTTGTCACAGTGACTTAATTCAGGAAGATACTAGTCCAGGGTAGGGCTGGGCAATGAGTCTCTTTAGCAAAATCCGGATAATATGCTAGTCCAATTCTTCGGCAAATAATATGTTATGAACCGCTTCGACAAATGAGTTAGAACCACTTCGACAAACGCGTTAGCATTACTTCAACAAGTGGGTGCACCCACGTCTGCAAACGGGTCAGGAAAAAGAGTTAACAGTCTGAATTCGGAAAAATGTTTTATTGAGAATTATCCGGTTATCCGGATAGTTTATCTGGATTTTGCCCACTTCTAGACCAGGGGGGCAACCTTTTTCGGCCAACTAGGCCACATCGGTGCTGAGAGAGGGCAAAGATAATGTCTTTGACGAGGGCCCTCTGGGCAGAAAGAACAAAATCGAGGTCACAAAAAAGACTGAATCATTTCAAAACAGCGGTGCATGTAGCCTAATAAAATAGTTCAAGAGAGAGAAAGAGACAGACAGACAGACAGACAGACAGACAGACAGGCAGGCAGGCAGACAGACAAACAGGCAGACAGACAGAGGGGGTGGGGGTGGGGGTGTGTACACAAAATAATGGAGGGAAAAGAATACAGCAGCTCCCATTTTATTGACACGGGATAAAGGATATCTGCTGTCGCTTGATGTCAGATCGGCTAAAGTTCTGCGCCCATCTCTGTTATATGTCGTTTTATTTTTTCTTTCTGTCTCTCCCTTTTCTTCTTCCTCCGACTTTTACGGTGAGTTTGCTGCAACACTTAATTAAAGAGGTGAATCAGCACAATATGGGAGAAAAATCGAAGTAAATTTTAAAAAACTTTCAGTGAAGTTTAGAGCATTTTGATTTTCTTTTAATAGAAATTTAGCAATTTAGCGTTATACTAAAGATGAATTCGCTGTTAATAGGCTGGTCGGAAAATAAATGCCAAAAGTCCAAAGTCATGCACAAGACAGGAATAGGGAGTCAAAACCCTCACCAGATTTTTAAAAAAGTATACAGATGAAAATAACAGACTTCAAATACTAAGGATTACTGAAAACAGAGATGGAATATGCGCCAAGGATATAGCATAGCAAAACCAAAGGCAGCACAACCATACAACAAATGGAAAACAGGGAGTACCTAAAGAACCTAAAGTTAGACTTTTGTCTACTGTGGCAGGTAGTTCTTTATGGGGCTTAGGCCTGGGCATTTAAAACGGAAGAACAAACAAATCAAAGCTGAAGGAATGTGTTTTTTTATAGACGATTGCTTCCGGTGAAAAGGAAAGATAAAAGAATAAATACAAGTGCCCTGAAAGAATGAGCCACACTGCTTTTTAAGATCAGCTAAAGGACATTCGAGTACCTTGGTCTAACAAACAGAAACATATAAACGAGCCCGATGACAACGTTGCAAGTGCTGCACGACAAAATAGAGAC